TAATTCTACAATTACGGCCCATATCTGTTAACACATTTGTTTACTTTACTTAATATTTATAGAACGCCCGAACATTAACGATGTAAGAGATGTAAAAAAGTGTAATTTTTCACAATTCCAATACATCGAAATGGCGGTTCTCTCTTGTTATTTAGTGCATTTATCACTATTTGTTTCAATAAATAATTTGGAGCCGTTTTTGAGAAAACCTTGTTAATTGACCTTGACATTTAACCTTGACATTTATGAAGGAACTAATATAGTGGAGGACTAATTTCATTTGAAAAAATCACTGCCTTCAATATTGTAGTTGTAGGATGACACCGAGAAAAATTTCAAACTTTTGCAATTTTCGAGTTCACAGAAAATCCTATCTACGTCATCTTGATAAGAGTATTTCACTCTCTTTTTATAAAAAAATGGAGCCATTTTTGAGAAAACGTCTGGGGGGCTTCTTGTAAAATACCCTCTAAATTTAAAGAATTATTTTCAAAATCGCAGGCCATTTGAGTCAGAACAGATGGATCAGGTAATATTAGTTTGGCAAAATTCTACGAATAGTTTCGGCGCTATCGTTATTTATGACGGACGTTTTGAATAAAAAAATAACATCACTTTTCAGTATCCGAGTTTTCCAATCCCAACACGCGCATTTCCGTGTACATTTCGTAAACAATTTTCCGCAGTATTACATAACTGATTAACACACACACACACACACACACACACACACACATATATATATATATATATATATATATATATATATATATATATATATATACACACACACACACACAAACACGAATACGAGAAAGTAAATCCGACCAGATTGCTATAAAAGTGTGTGCCATTGGAAGAACATGTGGCGGCACACATCGGTTTCGCAGACGGAGTGACTTGAGGAGAGGCAATCGCTTTTGCACGTTTGTGCAGGATGTCGGCGCCACGTGCACGCTGCGGAACTCGAAATTTGGCTAGTTATTTGTAATGAAACAATTAACGAGCTTTTCCCCCAAGTGGCATATCTCGATTTATGTTTGTTTTCTAGTTTCAATTAATTGTTAAGATGCTTTTTTATTGCTCTTCTTCCCGCTTAACATTTTCTCCTATGTTACACTATCTTAAAAATTGCTGAATTCTATCTTGAACTAAGGCTGAATGTGAATGTTTTCCTTCTCTGAAACTAGTGCTACTACGACACGAACTTGCTCGTATCACAAACGGTTTTGTAATGTTTTTCTAATGTTTTGTTGTTTTTAATTTTTAATTGATTTTTGTTTTTATTGCGTCTTTGCAACACTTCACTAAGTCCTTTTTGGACACTCAGTGCCTGGAGTAATCCTCCTTGATGGGTGTTTTCTGCATTCCAAAAATACTAACATCAAAACTGTTTCTAAATAGCTTCAAAGCCTTGATTTGGACTTGCAAACGGCACACAATTTACCCGATGGAGCTTAAGAAGGGTTGAAGACTGGAATCACTATGGTGATTTGAAATACAATGGTAGTCTGGAAAGTAGAAGTGAAATTTAACAATAAACGAGAGAAGAAAAGTAAATGACATTTTGACGAACTCTGCTAGGGCCTACGACTCACTGACGGCCAACAAAAATACAAACTTAATATTTATTACGGATACCTAAATATTATTATTAACCATTTGGAGCGACGATTTGTTGAATTGAAAAGTACAGTGCAAATTTTAAAAGTGATTCAGCCACATGTTTTGTTAGGACGATACGAAGATGCACAAAACCTTCAATCAAAACATTCAGCAGATGTTACGGGAAAACTTGTCTCAGTTATTGTCTTTGCGTAATTGTTTAAAAAGTCAAATTTCAAAACTAAGATCTGTTAAAGATTGTGCAAACCTATTAATAATTGAACATTGTTAAAAATTAAATTTAGTTCTATTATTCCGATCTGTGGACAGTATTGACATTATTTTTTTACACTTCCTGTCACGCTCGTCAGAGCCGAAAGAACGTTTTCAAAATTAAAGCTGATTCTTATTTACTAAGTACAATGGCCCAAGACCGTTTGAATAATTTAAGTATTTTATCAATTGATCACGAAAAACCGATCTGGTGGAACATTAATATTTCTACTGTTATTGATAAATTTGTAAATGCGAAGAAAATATCAAAATTTAAATTTAAAATATCAAATTATTAATTATTAATATATAATTTTAAATTAATTCAAATTATATTATGTTATTATTTTAAAATTTAAATTTCATGAAATAGCAAAAATTATAATTTTTTTTCTCCAATAGTGAATTGTAATAGTTTTCACTCCTAAAATTCAGTTTATAATCACAAAATTAAATCAACGACATGTCTTTAATTAGCGGGCCTCGGTATTAAGCCGGTCCAAGGGCCCCCACTGATTAAATATCTGGCCGCGACTCACGCTAGGGATGTACGACGTTGATGGTTAGGGAAAGCTACAGGAGCTCAATTGCAACGACACGGTCAGGTTCCCAAATGCACTATCTATTAGTAAAATAATCTTAAAATACAGACTTATTACGAAGAACTTAATTATTCTGTAAAAACAAATAAAGAAACAGGAGAGGTAAACCCCGAGGGGACCAGTCCGAGCTCTCTGCTTCCAAGGCAGAGGAATGGAAAATGCCCGGAACGGCGTGTTGTCCGCATGTAGCCTACGTGCAATTTCTGGGAACGCAGTGGAATCTTCGATAAAGACGCTGTTAGATTGCGAAAACATAGTAGGTTTGAACGATGATAGGAATATCAGAGGAATTAAATTCGATTCCTTCCCTGGTCGCGTCCACTGTTAATAATTGTAAATAGTCTAAAATTTCACCTGATGACCCTAAAAAGGCGCCCCCCTCCCTCCATTCCCTCAAAACGCTTGCCAGTGTCCCAGAGGGCTGCGGTTTGAGACTATTACTGATAATTAAGGAAATTTCGAAATGAAAAAGAAACAAACTTAAAATTCAGTTCAAAGAAATTAAATTTAGTTCTACTATTCATTGAAATTAATTATTGATATGGAAGTTTTTTTTTGATTATCCTTAGTTTATAATAATCTAATTATCGATAGAACATTTTTAATGTGTTAAACATTATTGATTGATTGTTTGTGATTCCGGGCGCGTGAGCGGCTAATATCATTATTCCTATAAGTGTAGTACATGTTTTTGCTCGGGAGGTGACGGGGTTCTTCCTCCGCTGGATGGCGTGATCAGGCACCGATCTACCGTCGGCTAACGGAGTTTTCCCATCCAAGTATCTCCCACCAGCGAGGCACCACCTCAGCCGGGACAACAAGCTCCCGAGCGGTCTCCTGGCATGTGTGGTAGTGTAGTGCATGTTCGTGTGTGCAAGGGGTGATGGTAGGATAAGCAAGAATAGGAAATATCGCGCGCGATCCGTGGCCCGTTTGTTAGGGTACTGCTCCGGTATTCGCCTGGTGATGATCGGAGAAACAACACAAAACTGCCGATCAGAGCAGGCGGCGACTGAACTCGACCTATATGACAAGCTAGTGTCGAAATTCCTGCTACCGTCGGGACTCAAACTTAGGACCTCCAGAGGGAGGGAGAGTCAGAGGGACTGCAGTGACATCTGTTGATGCCGTGAGCCATCTATCCCTGTTTTTAAGCGTTAAGATTGCAATACATTTGTGTGGCATCAACGTTAATTTTTTTACATGTTTTCTGTATTAAATTATTTTCGGGGCACTAGCGTTATTTCCCGGCGATGTGTTGTGCTGCGTCACAAGTTTTGAAAACTTCTGCACTACATTCTAGAGTAGAGCCGCGGTAATTCGAACTTTGGTAATACGAGATTTCGTGGAATCTGAGATAGCCTGATGTGCGTAAAGTTAATCAAGCGACGGTAATTAGAGCTAGCTCTTGACGGGTTGGCATCTCTGAAGGTCACGTGTACGGCAGTTGGTGCCAGTATCAGTCTGTCTGCTGAATTGTTGTAACCGGTTCGTGCACGTGTATCTACGTACGTACTGTGCATATATCTGTAATTTTAATAGTATCTACTCATTAAATTTGACTTTGTTAGACATTGCAGTTGAAAATTCCGTTATTCATTTTTTCCCGCGTAATCAGAGATTTTTTGTAATCGGAGGTAAAATAAGCCTCAATTACCTCGAATCACCGCGACTCTAAGGATGTACAATTATATTAGCGGCGTCCCGAACGTCCCCCCTTGCTGCATTGACAAGGGGGGCGTCCATAAATTACATAACGCAAATTTGGAGTATTTTGAATACCCCTCTCCCCCTTGTAACGCACCCGTAACGCGCTCTTGAACCCCCGTAAATAATTACATAACACTTGCGACATCACCCCCTTTGTAAATGCAAGAAGTGAAAATAATTTATAGCACAGTAAAAATAATTTGTATTTATTTTACTTGTGTTGTATATTAAAGTTACGAATGATTATTAAAGAAGAAATTAGCAGGTGATGCTGACTTCACCTAATAATAAGACTGGGACAAATTGTGAGTGAAGGAAGAATGCTTGGGCGAGAAATGTTTGATAAATAGCACAGGCCATCGTGGATGATGCAAGAGAGAAAGTCTACAACGCCAATTTAAATGGATTCTAGAATATACTTCATTTCAGTTTTGAATATTCTCTGCGTAATATTAGAGATCCCAAACAATGCTGAAAAAAATACATTTATTGTAACAATTTACAACTAATAACTTTAGTTTATTAATGTTTTTTGAAACAAAATTAATTAATTAATGTTTTAATGTTCTAGTACAGAACTCAAAAAAAGAAATATTTCAGCGAATGATGAAAAATGTAAAAAAATAATCATCAAAGTTACCTAACACCTAATTAATACCCCCTTACCCCTATGTAACGCTGGCTCAACCCCCACCCTCCTCTTTGGCGTTACGTCATTTATGGACGACCCCTTGAGTCATTTACACCCGTTATACCCCCTTCCCTTTTCCCTTCCCGGCGGCGCATCAGCGGAGCGCCGCGCCGATTAGCTTGCTTCAGTGCACGCGCGCAAACCGACGCCGCACCAGGGCCCGGCAACTCTCCATCAAAATTGGGGACAAAGCTAGAGGTTGCTACGATAGGATGCGCTAGTGTCATCGGTTACAGCTGCTGGTAAGACTCGCCAACTTTCGCACATAAAAATTGGTCAAGAAATACGAATACACTTTGATTATGAGCGATTTCTGAAATAAATTACAAAGAAATTAAATACAATGTGTTTATCTTCTAAAATTCATAAGAATACACTTACGAAAGAAAAGGTAGCGCGAACAGCGGCGCGATCTTTTGTATCAAGCGCGTGTGTTCGCGTCCCGAGAGCCCACGCATGTTTTAAACAACGTTCGTAGCAGTTCGTATTTTAGTTCGTGCAAGAAGGCGATGCTCTAGAGCGCGCCACTGTAATGGTCCCCACCACGTTATATGGGAGTTATTCGTATAGGGCCCTGCGACGCACTCAGTGATCGACAGCAGCAGCACACGTCGAGGACGGCCCGGGCCAGAGCGTCTTCGGCTGGGATTCTACTGCGGTGAAAAGTAGGAGCTTCTTCCCCAGTGTAGTAAAGTTGTTTGCTTACTTTTAAAAAAATTCGTTACCAAAATAATACTTGGTTTGTTTGGGTTGTTGTACACCAGTATGGTTTCCCCCGAAAGAGGTGCACATTTGCTGAACTAATTGTTACTATGAGTTTGATACCATCAACTAAATGTTTACCATTAATGTTTAAGGAAGGGATAACGGTGGTCTCGTTTATTAATTTTTAATTGAGATCTGACAAAAAGTAAAATAATTATCGGGACAATTAACAAATGGTTTATTTCGTATGTGATTGGAAAATTTAAAAGTCATATTGACTTCATTTGTCAGTAAAATCTCTTTTTAATTATGTTCACCTTGTTTCACCCAATCGATGTTAAATAAATGGATGATTTTATATTGTTTTGAAAACATCGGCATCGATGTCACTTCTCTAGTGTTACTATATTATCTCGCGATTGTTACACTTTGAGGTTTACACACAAAAGTGCGTTGCCAGAATTTGTGTTATCGATAAAGTTAAGTCTGATATTATTTGAACCATTCCATTGAATTGATTGATTAGTTGATTATTTAGTGCATCCTGGTGCGTCAACTACTGTCATTAGTCTCGTAAATGCAGCGTTTACCGGAGGATGTAGTGTTCTCCTCCCCTCTGGATCGTGAGATTCCACTCGTCAGCTTCCAGGGTTTTCGCTCTCCAGGAATCTCCCCCTCCTCTCCAGGAATCTCCCCCCCCCCTGGGCGCCGTCCCAGCCAGGACAGCACTAAACTTTCGACATGTGTAGTGCAGGCAATAGTAAGAATGTGTGTAAGGGAAGAGGGAGGGGTAGCAAGAGAAGGGAAAGATCGCCTGTGTCCCTATTTATTTAGGTTTGTATTCGGAAAACTATCTATCCGAGAAGTCGACCGCTACAATTCTTTTGTAGACAGATTCATTTCGATCGTGGTGAATGTAGGCAAGGTCGAAAATCATTTCAATCAAATCAACAATTTAAATAACATAAGTTTAAGATTGCTGATTTAAAACATGACTTTTAATTTAACATTTTAATACTTGAGTTTAATTTTGTCAGAAAAATGTATATTGATTTCAGCAGCCTTAAGATAAATTGCAGACGTCGCAGCGAGTAAAACGAGAGGTTTGAGGACGAGAGGGCGGCCTGACAAAAGCTCAAAATCTTGATTAAAAGGAAAATTGGGCGAATATGAACTATAATATCTAACGCAATTCAATAATGTGCAAGCGGTCTGCGCATAATGAAATCTCCATACCAAAATGAACTGTATGTTGTCAAGCGACAGAAGACTTGATGTCTTAGTCTTTGAGATGCCGTTCCGTTCAGTAACAAATCATCTTTAATATCGTCGTTGGACTCGTAAACACGACCGTGTGAAGTGAATGCCATTTTACAGAAGAGACATAACACAAATTTATAATCAATCAATTAATAATTAATTTTCTTTCTACCGCGCGCATTAATTAACTGTTATATTCCTTAGAATTAAGATATGATTAAAGTACAAATAATATACCAGTTTTAAGTAAAATTCTAATTAGTTTCTTGCTCTGTTAAGTGTTGCACATACCTCACTTGTTTTCGTAAAAAGTGCACATAGCCGCTTTTTGGAGGCGTAATGATTAAGAAAGTTCTCTATTCTGAGAAAAAGATTCTGGATACTATTCCAAAAGAATATCGGATCCAGTTACTGCTGACGTCAGTCTTTGTAACCTGAATAACGTCTTGATATTGCTGGGAAGCTCAACAAAAGCTCTCCAAAACTTGTGGCTTGACCCAACATCAAACACGGAGGACATCATATTCTGGAGAAATATTTTTATTAAATTGTTTAAAATTTTAATTTTATATTATTTTGCATTTTAATTTTTGAGCTAATTAGAGAAAAGGCTCGTAAGTCTTGATTTATTTGTTTACATAGGCACACCAATTGCTTTCACGGATTCTACTTGCGTAGTATAGAGAAAGATATGCAACACTACAGCGAAAAACGGCAATTTTTCGACAGAAAATCTCTTACTGTGGGGCCCTGGTAACGAAAAAGTGGATAAATCTTGCACCTGTATGCAGTAAATTACTTCATCTAACACGTTGGTAGTCAGAAGACACCTTTGTGGGCCCTTCACATCGAAAAATTGATTGATAACAAAATGTCTGTCTGACCGTCCATGGCCAACGCTGGTATATTTAAACTGTTCAGTCAGACGATTTTTTCTAAAATCGATCAGTCTGAATGAACTCATTGCAGGTTTGAAAATCATGTTTTAATATTGGGCGAGGAATGCAATTAAAAAAACGTTGTTTTTTTTAATTTGTGATTGACGTTAATGATTTTTTATTCAAAAACAGCTCCAACGTTTTTCATTTTTTTCCCACGCTACGGACGCTTATAAGAATGGCACAAGACACATTTACGTTGGACGGTCTGAATTTTCGAAAATTGCAAAATTTAGAAACAATGCGATAAAGTATGTGTTGCTGTAGCATCAGTAGTTACAATTGCAGAGCCTGAACATTAATCCTATATTAAGCACAAAATTGTGTTGGCGCTCCTCCGTAAAAAAAGTTTCTTCTTTATTAAATAAAAAACTTATCTTAATGCAAGTACTTTCTGTACAAATACAAATGAAAACTAATAACATGTACATAAACATTTACATAGATTATATTTATTGCATTAAATACATTTTACAATAATATTTTACATAAATGAATTTTACAATAGCGAAATTACGTATTGTTAATATTAGACTAAGGGTCACCAACTTTTATGCGACTGAGCTCATGGACCTTACCGTGGGCTACTCATCAAAGTAGTAAAAGAATACATGTTTTTGTTTAAATAACAGTTTTTAATTAATAACCTACAAATATACATTTCTAGTTTATATTAAATCTAATTAAATGCAATTGAATGTACACTGATGACACTCGACAGACGCGGGCGCAAAGGAAGGATGAGAAGTGCAGATTAGTCAACCCAAACGCTGCGTCTGAAATATCCCCGTGAACTACCAAAAAATTCCCTGCGAGCTACCAGTAGTTCGCATGCTAGGGTTTAGCGACGGCTCTATTAGGCTATTTTAACATGTATCAAATATATTAAAAAATGAATTTAAAATTTTAAATACAAATTTTGTAGTGCAATAGACTATTTGAGTAACAATTCTTTTGCAGACATAAAAAATATGTTATGCATATTTTTTTCCGAAGCGCGAGGCCCCTCATGGATGGAGGCCCCCAAACAACTGCTTGTTTGCGTGTAGGGAAATTCGGGGTCGTTGGTGAAACGGTTAGCGTATCGGGCTGATATACCCAAGTTCGCGAGTACAACCCGATCGAAATCGTGGATTTTTAAAGGCGAAAAAATCCTTCGTACGCTTTCCTTCGGAGGGAAAGAAAAGCCTGCTATCCCATGTTAGTAGATTTACCGCATGAAAAAGATTCTCAAGTCTTAATGACGCCCCTGACCTAAATTCAAATCGCCTGGTTCGTCGCCCCGAGTAATACTTTCTTTCTCCGCTAGTGGGTGAAAGGAGCGTAGCGAAATTTGCGTGGTCAGACGAAAGAGCAGCCTATGTCTCGCCACGTAAAAATAAGGCTTCAATTCAATTCTATTCAATCCGGTTCTGATTACACGGGAACATTTACAGCATTACCCTCATATGCCAGAGTTAAGAGCGTTCTCTGGTACTTTACTATCGATGGGCCATTTCCCATGGCACCCGGTTCATGTATGTTTCTTGGAAGGACAAAAAAAGCTTGAGACTTGCGCGTAAAGCGTCGAGCGGCCTTCGCGGGAACCTTGTGGAGCTTGTTCTCGGCCGCCGCCGAGTCGTGTAGCGCGCCGGTGCGCGGGGCTGGCGCGGGCTGGCGGGCAGCGCCCGGGCCAGATGGGAAAGGGAACGGCCAGCTGAGCACGCAAAGCGGCCGGCAGTCGCCAGCGCAGAGCAGCAGTCCTTCCGAGGAAAATTCGCGGCAAAGAGGTTAGTGCAACGAACTCCCGTACGTGGTCGACAATTGATATCGAGAAATATTCAATTTCTGCTCATAGAATCATTCATGATTCAGTAAGTTATTATTAGTTTTCGTTTGTGCAAGCAGGAATGCAGGCATGTGCGTTTGGGAAAATTGTCCAAATTTCTAGTTCGTTTTGCAATTGCCTCATTACTGCCACATTGTATGGTATTTCGTCGGAAAGGCGATGCTTAAGCAATAAGGCAAGACTTTTTTTAGAATAGGGATCTTTTCCGCTGGTATAGAGACGATATAATGCACACATCTGCCAATTTTGTCTCCAAGAGAAAAGAATTAGAACAATTCAGAAATCGAAAAATGTATTTCTCAGTAAATGTGCGAAGTCAACCTACTTGGAATATAGGAGCTTATACGTCATCAGTATTGTACAGCTGCAGAGATGCGCAGAACACATGACTTTTAGAGATGGGAGGGTAGCACCATTGCTCTTCGAGGTGGCAAGTGGCAGATGCTGGATGCTTAAAATTCCGTAATGTGTCGATTTTCTTTGGTCATTGTCCGTTGGTAGTTTCGGCGTG